ATGTGTTAGCATAATTTTCTTTAATTTACAATTTTTTAAACATTTTCATTTATCAAATATTAATTTATTGAATGTTTTTAACATAAGTACATTCAACATTTCATAAGTAATAATCCCAAATAATCAGATTTGAATCAATCACATGATAGAATTTTGCCCAGTTTATGAATATGATTTCACTAATTATCTTCGTCGTGTATGAAAGTATGTAGCTGGAACAGATAAATTTTAGATGCTAATTGTTCTGTAGTAATGTACAAATGAATAATTTAATTACTACATCTTTCGGAATGAACTTTTTTATAATAATTGTGAGAATAATTTACTTTCGAACCTTTTTTTTAATTTCGTTCAATCTCTTTATATTTCAAGGTATTATTTACTAGTAGTACTATTTAAAGACATATTTACATACTATACATTCACGTTATTTCAATTAATAAGGATATATTACAGTAATAAAATTATTGAAATGGATTTAAGAGAACATAAAATCTCATTAAAAAATCAAATAAACTAACAGAATAAGAAGCACGTTATTAAAGACAATAAATGGATTAGCTCAATTAGATATGCACTGATATCAAATAACTTATTTCAAATTAATACCATTTCACCTTTATTACATATTTCTATTATAATTTATATACATTAAATTGTGAAACCCGGATTTAATAATAACAGAAATTATGACTTCGTATAAAGCGATCTATGTAAATGAATATAAATCTTACTGCGTACATAACTAAACCATAATAAGCAATAATGTTTCAGAATTGTCACTTATTTCTATTGTATATGTATTTATATTGAATATTAAACTATAATTTGCATATTTGAATTCTTACAGTTACATATACAGCATTGTAAACGTTATAATATTTACTGAACTATCATTAATATTAAATATTTAAAAAACATAAATATTTAGATATTATATAATGCAATTATAATAAATTATATTTGAATAAAATTCATTCATTAGACCTTAAATAAGTTTAATATAATGAGAACAATAAAAATCAATCCAAAGAAATTATTTGGACATAGAATATAATTACACATAATAATTCGTTTCAAATAAGAATATACAGATATATGAAAAAAATCTAATAGTTATTTCATTTTGCACCTTTGACTATTTAATAATTTTAAATATTAAAATTATTCCCTCTAAATTTCTATTCTATATTTAATTTTAAAATGATTTCTTTTTGACAAACATATATAAAAATATTTAAATTTGATTATTAGAAGTAATTTATTAAGGTAACTTTTAATGTATATTAATTAAATTTCAAGGAAAAATTGTAAAATTAAAAATTAGCATATTAGCAAACAATTAATTAATTAAATTATAAAGGTTTACAAAAAAATTAAAGATATATTTTTAATTTATTATTAACATTACTAATATATGAAAAGTATTATATAACGATACATTGCATAGTATAAATCTTAATAGAAAATTTGTATGGAGTCTTTAATTGAAATAATAATCCACAGAAAATATTTAGATCTCTGTTCAAACATAATTGTTATTAAAGTTCCAAATAAATGAAATGTGATAAATATAGAAATGATTACTTTACTTTTTGAAAATTTAAATAAAAATTATAATTTATTTTCAATTTTAAAATAATTTTTTTTATTATTAAATTTTATTTTTTCAAAATAACGTTGATTTTTAATATTTTATTAAACAATAGCAGAATTATTCACACGTTTTAACTCCAAAATACATAGCATTTTACTATTTATGCGTCATGATAATTTTTTAATTTGTATAATGAAATTCATTTTAATTAAATATATTTAATAATAAATTAAACTATATTAAATAAATTTTTGTACTTTTCCATAATTGAAATTTATTTAATATATCTTTTTCATAGTTTAAACACTATTGTTTATAAAAATATATATGATTATATCATATATAACTAGTTTGAGAACTCATTGAAAATATGTATAATAGTCATTAAAAATGTCATTAAAGAATTTTCATATCATAAATTCTCTTTACAAAATATCTGTATCTTGAAAAAATGAAATAAATTTTTGTTTAAGTAAATATACATATTTTATCTTTTTATCTAAACTACACTCATCCACTCACAATTTTATGTCTACCTGGATTCAAAATCATGATAAAGTTACGTATAATGACTGCTTATTCTTATCCTGAGGAATTTTTACTTCTTTCATGCAGAAATACATATTTTTCTTTTTCATAAATTTGTTATTAATGTGCGATTTATTTAACATTTTCATTTACTTTCAATCGAAAATATCTTGAACCGTTTCGTTATATCATAATTTTTATATTTCAAATTTATATCGTCCCATTATAATTAATTTATCTATTTAATTACCACTACAAAGAATCTATTTTAATCTAATTTATTTAAATTTATTTGTAATAATTATATGAAAATTAAACTATTTTTTATATTATGGGTATCCTATTTTGAATGAACTGATTTGTTTTATTGAATTAATACATTTATAATTAATTAAAATGAATATATTTAAGTTAATTATAAATTTAATATTATAATATACATATTCATTAAATATTATGTACTTTATTTCAATAAAAAATTTTTATTATATAATCATCTTACAAAAATGCTATTCACACGTTCATAATATATACTGTTCATGTAATACTGTCTGAATGATTAAAATAAGATCGTTTTAAACTATTAGAAGTAAATTATAAAAAAAAATATAAATTGATTATAATGATGATAGGATTTTAAAATACTGTAGGCTTTTATTTATATTATACTATTAATTTATTTATTAAATTTAATAAAGTATTGATTTAATATTAGTATATATTAATGTAAGCCCTTATATGTCAATATTCTATTCACAATTCGCTTTAAGATTCTAAAAAGCTATATATTAAATATTAACTCTGAGTTTTTATAATTTCCATTCAGATGGAAATAAGTGTCATAGCCTCCTCTATTTTAATAAATAAATTTACATTAACTTTAGTTTTCTTTTTCATTTTTACTTATTAGTTATTATAGTATATAGACATTAAAAAATTAAATAATCAGTGTACAAATGATCAATTTTTTACGAAGATACGCTTTAAATAATCAGATGGGAAAAATTGTAAATAATTATATTGTATATTATAATAATTATAGTAATTCAAAAATAAAGCTTCTTTAAAATTCTTTATAAACAGTAAGCATTTATAAATAGTCTAAAAAAATAAGAACAAATATAATGAATTTTGATTTAGCAGATTAAGAAATAGTATCGAGGTAAATATCTACCACATAATAACTACATTTTTAATTGCATTCAATACCTTCTTTATAGTTGAATAAAACATAATATTCAAAAACAATCATTTATACAATTTAAAAATGTATTCATTGATTTTTTATTAAACAAATAACATTCCTTCAAATTTGTCTTTAAAGCTTGTAATAGGCTTATATCTGTTTAGAAATACACCATGCTCATAAAAATATATTTTTCACATTTCTGTAAATAGTTTCATAATCAGCTTATCATATACAGAATAAAAAATTTATTGGATTTTTTTTTAATTATAGAGTTTGTGTTAAGTAACCATTACTAAATATTTTCCTATTATTTGTGTATTTTTAAGTATATAAAGAAAGGATTTGTAAACCAACCTATTCTTTATTGCATTATCAAAAGGAAGTCACTAAGTTAAATTGAATTTAAAGTGGCTTATCAGAAAATATGTGTATGTATCTTATAAATTATTTAATTGTAGTAAACTAATATAATGTAAGTTAATATAAGTTGTAATATTATGTAATATTATATATACCAGTACATTTATAAACAAACATCGATTCAAATTTATATTAATTTTTTTGGTAAAAAATGGTCAATTATAGTTGGGTTGTTAGCACTGACTAAGCTTCATAAAATATTTTGAATAAAAGTATAATAATGATAATAATAATAAAAATAGAATAATAATAAAAATAAAATAAAAACTTGTGTAATTTGAGATAAGTTCCGAAATTTAAATAGAAGATAATTCTTATGATTAAACTTTTTTTCTAATATAATACATTATTAATTAGATTATATTAATAATTATATTATCTTATCTGTTATATTAATTATTTTATCGTAAATACATTATAATCTAAGTTTACAGTAAAATATTCACGATTACTTACATATTTATAAAATATAATTAAAATTATAATTTACTTTATTTCACATTTATTACGTAATAACTTCATGTTTTTGTTTTAAAAATATTTTCAATTGTATTATTAAATTGTAAATTTATATTTAATATTTTCGAATGTAATTTTTAATGTAATGAGAATCTTATTTTTAACTTATAAAGAAAAAATTTATATAAATTTATTATTTTGTTATAATATTCCTCAATTTTTATAATATAAAATTATAATTTTTATGATATTATAATTTAAACAAAAAAAGATTAAGATATATTATAACGTTTTTTTTTATATTACAATTTATTAATGTCATATTTAGATTAAAAAATGTTTTTATCTATTCTAATGTAATTTATACTAAGCTTTTTTATTAAACGTTCATTTCTGTAGTAGAATAAATAATGCACATTGTTTGAGAAACTGCCATTATGGTGCAAATATTTATTGATGATGAAGAAAATAATATCGAATTAATTTCTTAAGTAATACCGTGACAATATTCACCTTTGAGTAAAAATCCAAAATAATTACTCAATAATATATTCTGAAATTTCTAATTAAAAAACGATTGCAACGTCTTATGAAAATAGAAAGAATGGGTCATAAATGAAATATTTTAGTACCATTGAAATTATTGGAATTACGATTAATGTCAAAATTTCAGTAGCCCATGAATTGTTTAAAATATTAACGTCTTTCGGAATAATAAAAAGTATTTGAAAAATGTACATAGATTTATAAAGATTACGGTTTGTAAGAAAATAATAAAAAAAATGCAGACCAAATAATTAATTTCAGTTAATGGATAAAAGCCAGGAAAAGTGGTCAAGTTTGATAGACGCTAAAGGGTTTACTTTTCTCCCAAGACTTTTTTAATATAATGTAATCAAAGTCAAGTAAGGTTGCTTGAGTTAGCAAATCAATTATTGCTGGGAAATACGCTGCAACTTCGACGTTGAAGGAGAAACGGAAATCATTTCTA